TTCAGAGGGGCTTTCTTTCATAGGCTTAGGGAAGATATTTAGGCTGAGTTGAAAATGCACAGGCCGGTTAGCCTACATGATATGATGGATTTGACCCAGCAAGTAGAGGCCCGCAACGAAGCAGCAGAGAGAGTCAGGAGGTATCGGGCGGGCCGTGGGCTTAGGACTGACGCCTGGGAACGGGTTGGGGGCCCATTTCAGGGCACGAATCATTCTCTGCCCTCCCAGGGGAGCCCCCTTCGATCCAAGGGTCCAAATGAAGCGGTGGGAGTTCATGGACTACGAAGTGGGATGGGTGTAGGGCAGAGCTCAGCATTAGTGGGAGCTTCGACATCCCGCCGCCTCACGGTGGAGGAGATCTAGCAGCGACGAGCTCGGGACTTGTGTTTCAAGTGCGACGAAAAGTTCAGCGCGGGCCACCGTTGCAAGAACAGTCAACTACAGGTGTTGATCTTGGCGGACACGGATGGGATTTCCGAGGAGGAGGAGGGCGCCGTTCAGGAGCAACCACGGGAGGAGTTGGACAACGAAAGTCTGGATGACAAGGTGGATTTGTCCTTGAACTCCTTGCGCGGTATGTCGTCCTCCAATACGCTAAAGCTGCGAGGCAGAATTGGTGGTCGAGAGGTGGTGGTGCTGGTGGACAGCGGGGCTACTCACAACTTCATCTCGGGAGCGGTGGCAACGGAGCTGAAATTGCCAATGGACCCCATGGTAGTTTTAAGCAGCGTTGGGTGTGTAGGGCGGTTCAGGTGTGGATTCAGGGGCATAGGGTTGAGGAGGACTTCTTCCCCTTCGAATTAGGAGGGGCTGATATGGTGCTGGGGGGGGGGATCTAGTGCTTGGGGTAACATGGTTGAGTACTCTAGGGGAAGTGAGGGCCGACTGGTCTAAGTTCCTATTGAAATTTCTGGTGGGGCCAACGTGGGTAACTTGGCAAGGTGACCCAAGCCTATGCTATGCCCCGGTGAAGTTGAGTTCCTTAGTGAGGTCGTTGTTACCGGAAGGTGCTGGGGTGTTGGTGGAAGTGTGTGAACTCTCGGTGCAAGGAAGGGACAGTGACGATAGGGAGGTGCCAGAAGAAGAGGTGAGGACAGTGGTGAGCGACTTTGACAGAGTGTTCCAAAGTCCTACGGAGTTGCCTCCTCACAGGGAACGAGACCACCGAATTGTCTTGAGGGAAGGGGCCGACCCCCCTGAATGTTCGACCCTATTGATATCCGCAAGTATAGAAAAGGGAAAAAAAGCGGTTGGTGACGGATATGTTGTCCTCTGGCATCATTCAGCGGAGCAGCAACCTTTATTCGAGCCCGGTCATTCTGGTTAAAAAGAAGGATGGCAGTTGGCGGTTCTGTGTAGACTACCGTGCGCTCAACCAAGTCACAATCCCGGATAAGTTCCTATCCTGTTGATTGATGAATTGCTGGATGAGCTACACGGGGTTGTAGTGTTCTCTAAATTGGATTTGCAAGCGGGTTATCACTAGATTCGGGTGCATGAAGCGGATGTGGAAAAGACAACTTTCCAGACTCATGAGGGCCACTACGAGTTCCTCGTCATGCCCTTCGGGTAATAAATGCTCCAGCCACCTTCCAAGCCCACATGAATAGGATTTTTTGGCCTTACCTCAGAAAGTTCGTTCTTGTATTCTTTGATGATATTTTGGTGTACAGTCGTTCGTGGGAGGACCATCGCCAACACTTGGCCACTGTCTTTGGTGTCTTGCAGCGTGAGAAGTTGTTAGCTAATAAGAAGTGTAGTTTCGGGCAGTAGCGGCAGTTAGGGTACCTGGGCCACCTAATCTCAGCGTAGGGGGTAGCGGCCGATCCTTCTAAAATTCAGGCTATCACGGCATGGCCTCCCCTACGAAACGCTCGAGAAGTGTGCGGGTTCCTAGGGCTCACAGGATATTACAAGCGGTTTGTGAGGGGGTATGGCATCCTCGCAAGGCCCTTAACGGAGTTGCTTACAAAGAAGGGCTTTGTTTGGACCGATGCTGCACACCACACCTTTGAGGCATTGAAGGCCGCCATGACACAACTCCCGGTATTAGCAATGCTGGATTTCGCTAAAACCTTTGTGCTCGAAACGGACGCGTCCGGAGAAGGCTTAGGGGCGGTTTTGATGCAGGAGGACAGGCGTCTCGCGTTCTTCAGCAAGGCCTTCGCTCCTGCTTCCCGCGTAAAGTCTGTTTACGAAAGGGAGCTTATGGGGGTGGTGCTGGCAATTCAAAAATGAGACACTACTTATTGGGGCGGCATTTTGTACTCCGAACTGATCAGGAAAGTTTGCGGTATCTCATGGGTCAGCGCCAACTTCCTCCCGACCAGCTGCGGTGGGTGTACAAGATGTTCGGCTATGACTTTGAGGTACAATACAAGCTTAGAGTGGCCAATAAGGTGGCTGACGTGCTTTCAAGGCGGGGAGACTGGTCGGATGCTGCTCTTTGCGCTTTAACCATGCCCCAGGCTGGGGATTTGGAGGCTATTCGTTTGGAGCAGCGCACAGAGAAGGAGTGGGCCACAACCATCTCTAAGCTCGAAGATGGCGAGCTCGTGGATGGCTATTCGTTGAGAAATGGCCTATTATTCTTTAAGAACCGGCTGGTCTTGGTAGCAAATTCTCCTTGCATTGCTCGGATGGTTCATGAGTTCCACGACTCAGTGATTGGGGGCATTCCGGATTCTTGCGTACGTACAAGCGGTTGTCCGCCGTAGTGTTTTGGCGAGGGATGAAGCGTTTCATTAGAGATTACGTGGCTCATTGCGAGGTTTGCTAGCGAAACAAGTCCGAAGCCCTTTTGCCAGCAGGCCTCTTGCAGCCTTTACCTATTCCGAACTTGGTTTGGGACGATGTATCCATGGATTTTATCGGGGGCTTGCCTAAGTCCAGCGGGTTTGACACCATCTTGGTGGTCATGGATCTTTTGTCGAAGTATATGCCCATTTTTGCCCTCTGGCTCACCCATATTCGGCCAAACAAGTGGCTGCATTGTTTGTCTCGCACATTGTTAAGCTTCATGGGGTTCCACGATCCATAGTAAGTGATAGGGACGCGATCTTTATGAGTGGATTTTGGCGCGAATTATTCAAATTGCAAGGCACTAAGTTGTGTACTAGTTCCGCTTATCATCCGGAATCCGATGGACAAACTGAGGTTGTTAACTGTTGCTTAGAGGGTTATTTACAGTGCTTTGCAGGGGATAAACCGAGGCTGTGGGCTTCATTTTTGCCATGGGCTGAATACTGGTTCAACACAACCTTTAATGCCTCGTCCAAATTCACCCCCTTTCGCATTGTCTACGGTCGAGACCCTCCCACCCTTTTTTGCTTTCAGGACACTCCCAGCCCAATGGATGCAGTGGAGGACCAGTTGGCTCTTCACAATGAAATGTTAGACTTGTTGAAATCTCACCTCTTGCTCGCCCAGTAGCGTATGAAGAAATTTTCGGATAACCGACGTCGGGAGCTGAATTTCGATATCGGGGAGCTGGTTTTGCTTAAACTACGGCCTTACCGTCTTAGGTCCCTGGCTCGATGCAAGAATGAGAAGCTCGCTCCGCGTTTCTATGGACCATTTGAGGTTGTGGCTAAGATTGGTCCCGTAGCGTACCGCTTGCGCCTGCCGGATACCGCTCGCATCCACTTGGTTTTTCATGTGTCTCAGTTGAAACCTTTTAAGGGGGCGGCCTCCAAGGTGTAGCCTTTACCGGAGCAGTTGTCCGCAGACTTGGAATTGTGCGTTCGCTCGGAGGAAGTTCTAGAGTCTCGGGTGGTCGTGGTGGGACGCCGTGAGGAGCAACAGGTACTCATTAAGTGGCAGGGCTTACACGAGTGGGAGTCTACTTGGGAACCGCTGGCTGCAATTCGCTTACAATTCCCCACTTTCAACCTTGAGAACAACGTTGGTCTACTCTCGGAGGAAGGGGCGTGGAGCAATTGTACAAGACAAGGGGGTAGGAAATGGAAATATGGGAAAGGAGAGCTGATGTGGCAAGTTGGTTAGGAATTTGTTAGCTGGGGGAGCATATCTAGGGAAGGAAGGGAAACGAGAGAGGAGTCTGTGGATTGAGAATTCTGTTAGCAGATCTTGGGAGGTAGGAGAACCTCGAATTCTCCATTGTTCTAGCTTTTCTTTTGTTCTTATTTCCATGGCTGTAATTCCTCTCTTCGGAGAGACAGAAGAGTGAATTAATAAAAGGAACTTGACCCATTTTCAAGCAATTCTTTCTGAGTCTGTGTCTGTGTTAGTCTGGCAAGAGGGGATCCTAACACCTTAATCCTATGTTGAATATCCTCTTCTATACCTCCTTCATATTGCACTATAGACCCAAGGTACCTAAACTTCCTAGAAGCCTCAATCTCCACATCATCTAAAGAAATTTCATCACTCTGATTACTTGAGTTACTAAACCTACAATGCATGTATTCAGTTTTCGTCCTACTTAACTTAAATCCCTTCGTCTCGAGAGTCTGTCTCTACAGTTCTAACTTACGGTTAACTTCTTCCCTATGTTCATCAACTAAAACTATATCGTCCACTAAAAGCATACATCAAGGAACTCTATCTTGGATTTCTCTTGTCAGCTCATCCACCATGATGGTGAAAAGGTAATGACTAAGAGCAGATCCTTGATGAAGGCCGATCCGAATGGGGAACTATGTCCTTAATTACCTTGATATACCTCACATGCACTCCTCTCTTTTCTTTTTAACTGCTGAATAAAGCTGAAATTCTCAGACTAATGACTGGATACTATTTTTGAGAATGTCTTATTGCTAATTTTGTAGTGGTGGTTAATATTTCTTTTGTTGTAAAACAGTATAGTAGAATATTTTAGTCTCAATCTCTCATAATATTTTAGTTTTAATCCCTCATCTATAGATACACTGTCTTTTCACAAACCGCTTTTGTTCTGTGACCTTCCTTAATATTTTCCAAATGTGGTTCTCTAGGGCCTAGGCATCATGCTAACGTTCTGTCAAACTTGTTTTTAACAGATATGAAAAATCTGGCAACAAACAGTTTGCGACTGAACTTAGCAAATGGATATTCCATGAAAGGGGTCATCTAAAGGTCTGCTCTTGCGTTCATTTTAAATACTTCTATCTTCCCGGTTTGGTTTGATATGCTTTATCTATATTTTATTTTCTAGTGTGTTGTCTTCAGTTGAATCAGTTCAACCTATTAACTCATGTTCTTAATCAGGCCATCAACATTAAACACAACAAAGTTGGAGAAACAGATGAACCTGCAATGTATAGGATCAAGGATGACCTGGTATGTATGTTCTGAGGGTTTTTATTTTTTGTTTTATTTTACTTTTTGTCTGCTTGTACTTACTCTATATATGTGTGTGCTCATACTCACTTCGCTTTTACACTGGTCTGGACATATATGTATGATTCTTGTCTATGTATTTGCTATATTGCCGGAAAAGGGTGTAGTCTTGATTCTTGTCTAATTTTATCTCATAACAGGATTTCTCCGTTGAGATTTATGAGTGGTCTGGAAAGAGCTGGGAACCATATGTTGCTAATGATGTACAGGTTCAATTTTACATGATGAGCCCTTATGTATTGGAAACTTTAGCAACTGACCAAAAGGTATTCATATCCTTCCTCAAACTGTACCCGATCCTGTTGTAATCTAATAAGTACAAAAGATTCACTTTTTATACCTTGCTTCACAGGGATTATTCTCCACATCATTCAAGGTACCAGATGTCTATGGGGTATTCCAGTTTAAGGTTGAATATCAGAAGCTTGGATACACTACCTTATCCCTTTCTAAACAGGTCTGTCTTCGGCTCGGGCATTCAAAACATATCTTTTATCATTTCTTCATGAAACTATTGAAGTTATTTTAGGAAGATTACAGCCATTTCATTTCAAGCCGCTAAATACTGGCTCAAATTTGATTTAACACCTTGATTAAATTTTGCAGATCCCTGTACGGCCTTTCAAACACAACGAATATGAACGATTTATAACCACTGCTTTTCCCTATTACGGAGCTTCATTTACTACGGTACGCCTCACCCTCTCTTTTCTTTCCCTTATGTTGTCTTTGATTTATTGATGAATATGTGCTGAATACTTGATTCTAATCTTGCAGATGGCTGGGTTCTTCATCTTTAGCGTCATCTTCTTATACCATAAGTAAACCCATTTAAGTTATTTGAGAGACAAGGATATCCTAGGTTAACTTGAGGTACTCTTACTTTAGGACATGGATACTGTGTGAAAGGTAGTTTGAGGCATAGATTGAAATGTGTCGAATTTTGTTTCACAGCTCGTTATGTTACTTTTATTTTCGCTCATAATTGGCTCTTTTTGCCAACATAACTTGTGTCAATTTTGGGCACGTCAATGCAAAATATGTTACAGGAACTACAAAAGACAGCTGGGGTCATCGGATTCTATTAGATGAATCTTTGCTTCGACTTATTTTAGACAGAATTGCCACACAGATTTTGTGCGACATAAAAACACATCGATGGTTGTTCCTTTGTGATTGATACTTTTTGACTGGAAAAAGAAGTGAATTTGTAATTCTCTGTTATCCATGTGTTTTTCGTGATTGGAATTGTCATCAAAATATTCAACCTTTGGCTACCATTATGTTTATTTAATATATGCGAAAGACACATTTTAATAACTTTTCATGTGATAGTGTTTTACACGGTTGTGCGTGCGTGACAGAGTCCAAATGTACTGTATAATGATGTAGGCAGCTTGAAGCTGAAAGGGCACCCTATCAGGAACCGACCATCGTTGATTTTTATTTTTATTTATTTTTTATATAAAGTAATTACAGTCGAAGGCTTGAATTTAAAAATGTCCTTTCTTATACAATATTACAAAAATATCTGCTCGTGCTTAATAAAGAATATTTTATACCTAATTTGCCCTCATAGTTTTATTTTGAGCATCTTCCCAATTTGGTATGTTTTCATATTAATATTAGGATATTTTCTTTGATCATAAAACTGATTTGACTTCTTTTTTCCTCATTTAATATTTTTTCATTAATTTAAATGATTTATTACTGATTTGGTTTTTAAAATTAGGATTTCCCCTCCCATGCTTTTTAAAAAACGATTTTTGTCAGGCTTCCGTTCTTTGTTCGTCGTGGCTCATTTTGGCAGGCTTCTTGTTGTGTGATTCTGCAAGTGCACGGATCGTACAAGTAATAAAGTGTACTGGAGTACGATATCATTTTTACAGAGATTGAATCACTAATAATATAGTGTAGAAATCATGCAAACACCAAATTAAGTGAAATAATAAACTAAACAAAAATTCACTAAAATGATGTAAAGAGATAAGTGTAATATAAATGAAGCCAAATGTAATAGAAATGACAAAAATGTAGCTACGGGTTGTAATCAGTGATTTAAACAAACTAGGATTGTTAATTTCCCCTCAATTGCATGTCTGACAGTAAATGCTGCAAGAAATGCTATAGCATTATTACCCCCTGTTAACTGAAACTTAGTTCCCTGCATAAAATTCTTCCGAATTAATTATGACTAAAAATTCTTCAAACCATTTCCAGCATATTTCTATGTGAATTTAGTCTCAGAATGCAAATTTCAGTACCGGTTTCAATGAGTTATGCAAGATGAACAATATATTCCTATATCATTCACAAATCAACAACCTTAAACAAGAATATTGAACTTGCATCATCCATGTTAAATCTAACTCAAATTAATCTTCCTAGTATTAATCTAAGTCTTGTATCCTATAGTTGATGGCCAGTCAAAAATAGAAATAAGCAGTAAACAAACATGGATGAATAGGAATAAAAGCTCAAGCAAATTCACAAATCAGCCTTCATTCTTACAACCTTGGTTCCATCAATAATCCTAACAAGAAATTACTTAGCTCATAATTGGAATTACAAGAACCAAATAATCAGTATAATTCATTGTTCAACAAAATTGTAAATCCAAAGAGAAATTAAATGCAACAGATGAGATAGAAGAAGGATTCAGCTGGTTTGGAGCTTTTAGCATTTTTCCCCCATTTCCTTCTTCAAGCAAGCTTCCACAGGATGAAGAAGATTGGAAATCACCTCCTCCCCATACTGCTCTCCTTTCTCTCTTTGGTCTTTTTTTTCTTTCTTCTCTGGTTCTTTTTGTTGGGATTAGTGTCTTAGAAGCATGAGATGCAATAAGATATTTATTATTTAATTAATAAAAGAGTTTATTCATCATTTTATGTGCATATATTTATGAATATTTTATGAATATCAAATGAAAATTCCGTGATTATTTATGTAACCTTAAATATTGTATATAAGTGTTATATACGAGAGAATAATGTTTAAGGATAATAATAAAAAACGTTGTTCATAATGAATTTAATTAAAGTTCAGAATCTTTAATTAAAACATTATTAATACATGTCATTCCCATTTAGAATGGAATGGTACTAACCGCACTGTTAATATGGTGAGATATTGAATGAATGTATTTCGCATAATGAGATTGTGTGGAACAGGGACACAGACACAATATGAATTTCTAATAATTTTCGTTAAGCATAGAAATTTTAATTGAGTCTACCGATGGTCATATATAGAATGATCTTAATCCTGAGTTCTTAACAAACTCCTATTTATGGATTGTGTCTTTTGATTTACTCGGTACGGATTCTGAGACCCTGAATCCTATTCCTTGTATTTTGGAGACATGATGAAATAGGTAGCCTGGAATGTTATTATACGAGATGGAATCCATTCCTTCTTGAGAAAGAAGCAGATAAATAATTCTCTTGAGTGTTGATTCGGTACTTGGATTAGTAAGAGCGCTCTGGTTCATGAATGTGTTTTATGAATCACTAT